AAATAAACAGAAGTGTTGCTGAAACTCATGCAAAAGGGACTGTGTTTCACTGGGGTACGTGGCTTTCTCAGAATCTGGTAAGAGGCCGAGGCAGCTCTGTCATTTTTTCAACCTGTTTCCTACAAAATCTGATCGTTTGGGAGACTGGCAATCTGGTTTGTCATAAAACAGTGCATGCTGTCCCTGAAGAACTTTCCAGCATAAAAAACTTTCAGTGGGAAAAGGTGTGACTATTTTTTGTTGTGGTTCAGTTGGTTGGGTGTTTTGTTTGTTTTATTATAAAGGGTAATGGAGCTTGTGCAACATACTGTATGTTGGTTTTGGAACCTAAGCTAGAGAAATCTTATGGCCTTTTTCATTGTGATATTAGCTAATCATGCCATGTAATAAGGCTATCACAAATAGAGTTGCAGGATCCTTGCAGATAGAAGTGTGTGAAAGACTATTTTATTGCTGTAATTTAGTTTGCAGGAGTTGGATCACAGCCACTTCCTACAGACTCACATGGATGCTTCCGTGTGAAATCCAGTCAAGTGGAAAGCTTTTATACTTACAGACATTTGAGTGATTTGGTAAATTAATGAAAGAGTTAGTGGGAGGACAACAGGATATCAGAACAGCCCTCAAATCTGCTGTTAATTACTTGTACATTTCTGTGTCCATCATCTGCCTTCCGGCTAATTCTAGCAGAGTCCTGCTGTGCCTGAGGCAGTGTGCTGGAAGGCTGTCTAGTTAGTAGAGCCTGGCAACTCCTTTCTGCTCATCTTCGGAGATAAAAGGCTGAACTTGAAATGGATGGACTGGGAACGTAGCATCGTAACAGATTTCTATAAAAATAAATATTGTCTGTATTGTGGATGTTTCTCAGTAACACAGGTGTATTAACTGGGCGTATTAACATGGTGTCTGCATTGTGGATGTTTCTCAGTAACACACAGGTGTATTAACTGGGCGTATTAACATGTATAGGTAGGGACGTATATATATGTCTGTGTTACAGTAATGATGTTTGGCAGGGGGAGCTGGTTTTCTTACTTTGATTATTTTTCCCCACTTCCCCTCCCTGGGCATGCATTTCCCTTTCTGATCTGAAAATTGAGTTCTGCTAACAGATATGTTGTTAAACTCAATGCTTCTGGCTGTGACTCCTTGCAGAAAGGAAAGAGGAATTAGTTCCATTATAATCTGTGGCAGGAAACTAAAGGAATGCGTGTTTATTCTGTGTCCTTTGGCAACATTTTTAGCTAAAGCCTAGTCCCCTCTGAGGGATGCTTTGTGTATTTACAGTGTAGGGAGGTGCAAAGGTGCTAAGGTAGTATAATTTTTCTTGAAGGACTTGCAAAAAAGCTATGTCTGAAGTAGTAGGAAGAATACAGTAAGAGAGTGTATCAGTCTTGGGTAGTTGAACTTACCGCGGTGCCATCAGGTGGATAGACTATAGGTGTCTTGTCCACAGTAAAACAGGAGTGCTTTTGTGTGCCTTATACTAAAGTCACTAATTAGCTGGTATCTGTGGGACAAGAAAGGCGATTCTAAGAGCTAATACAAAACCTAACCACTCTGCTAAACGCCTTGCAGTTAACAACACAATACTTTCTAGTTGAAAAATCGAACCCTTCTTTCAGCTACTGGAGAGTTTAGATTAACCTCAGTATAAATGGGTTGTTTTAATTTCTGTGGACAAGATGGTGAATTCTGTCAGCAAGAAATGAGGGGTTTAATTTGCACTCATATTGCATGTTTATAAAGAGACTAAACGTTTGTCCTGAGGAAAGGAATGTCGGTCAGCAGCTGGTAAGAGCTGTGGCTGTGCCCTTTCTTTGATCTCTCTTGCTAAGCCCCCATCGTTGAAATAAGATTGTTGCCTCACAGCAAATGGCATCTGGGACACTGCATTGCAACCTGTCATGTGCCTTACAAGGGTCTGTCTTGTGTTAGAATAATATTGCTTCCTCTGTAGATACTGTTTCAAAATGTCTGTCTTAATTTGGTGACCATCAGAAGAAGCTTTAGCATTTCTATCAAAATAGTACTGTGTACAAAAACACTGTGAGTCACAGGGGTGACAGTGAAAGGTGCTTTGATATGAAACCGTGATACGTACTTTTTATTTGTCGTTTTAGTATTCAGTCTCTATTGTAGCACTGTGCTATTCCAGTACTAAAGCAACTTCAAATTCACACTCTTGTAGGGGTTTCTTTTGTTGCTATTGACAGGTGTTTGTTTATTCTTGTGATAGGCTTGTATTTCAGTAACACTTCCCCACATCATTTTTAGACTCTGTCATATGTTTGCTTGCGGTACAAACTGATCCAGCTATTTTTTTCTACAGACAAGAGATTTGTTAAGTTCTTTATTGAAAACGAAGAGAAATTCCCCATCTTACATTTTAGATTAATATAACAAGCTTAGTAAACTATGATACAAAAATCACTATTCCAATCGCTCCCATGTCTTCTGAAGGACATTACAGAGAACTCCTTTAAGATGCTCAGCTCAATGTCTGTATTTGTAGTCCTGTTGGAGGAGACAGAGCAAAGACAGAAAAGTCTATTACTAGGGAAAGTAGAGAAGAAAATCTTGGCAGTTAAAATAAGCAGGCATTGACAGCTAATGTGTTTTGAAATGTTGCCCACAATGGTCAATCCGTTCCAATGATGAATGCTTTATTTTCATGAAGACTAGAACACCATTTCAGTATTCTAGCTTTTAAAAAGAAATCCTTGGGTGGATATTTGATTTGAAAGGTTTGCTTTCCTTTAAGTGCTTTTAAGTTGTGTTTGACTGTTGTATTTAGGGGCATCCTTGTAGCTGCTCTTTACAACAGATATCAGTTGACGGAGTGGGAAATAGCTATTGCATCTTGAATTACACAATATTTATGAAATGTCAGGCTGAGCTGTGGTAAGCAGCTGAAATATGCTTAGATGAGTGGATATTTAATTTCCTGTAGGGCACAAATGTGTTGCTGCACAGTGTAAAAACGTTAGTTTCCTAAGATCCAGACAAAACATGTTGCTATGTTCCATTTCATGTGTTCTTTGTGACACTTCATAATCATGATGAAAGAGATGCCAAGAAAACAGCTGCCTGTAGCTTATTTTCTCCTAGGTTTTGAAATTCATTACCCATATTAATCTGTTATAGCTCAGTTGCTTGTGGGGCTGACTGAGGGGCTGCTGAAGCTAAAGCTGGAAAGATGGGGGGGTTGGTGAGGCATTACTTCCTTTATTACTGGTTTGTTTGTGTTCTGCCGTTTAAAACATGTTAATCTCTATTTGTAATTGTTAGTATACCTAGTGAGCAGGCAGGATTTTTTTTTAAATTAAAATAACTCATGAAATAATAAATACAGCTTTTTATGGAAGTAGAACATGTGGCCTAATGAGAAACCAGAACACCCTGTGTTAGTATGTCAGACATTGCAAAATGACCACTTTCTGCCCTAAGCAGTTTGAGTTGGGTGTAAGACAAAATTTTCACATAAGATTGAAATTACATTTTATAGTACATGACATTTTCTAAGTTTTCTGTGAACAGCGACTACCTCATCTTCCTTCCTATTCTTTTGACACACATGGTATTTCATAGAGGACTGGCAGGTCATACATTCATGCTAAATATATTGATCTCTGACTAATCTTTGAGTACAAGGATACAGGTGTTCCCTCTCCAACCTTTTTGTGCTGTTATTTGACAGTCATGGATTCTAGATACTTGTCCACTGGAATGAACTGTCACTAGAATCAGTAAAATTAGAAAATCAGCAGAATTAATCTCTCCAATATGTGAATTGCTTCTAGACAGGTGATGTTTTACCTATCAGGCAATTTCTGTCTGTAGTTTGTTCAAGAGCTCAAAATTTGAGATCTGTTGGTAAGTTTGAATTGGATACCCTTTTTACTTGAAAAGTTTCTATTCCTAGCTTGAGTGAGCATCCTGGTGAGAATAAATGTGCTAACGTAGTTTTAAGATTTACGTCCTGCTTAATTTGATGTTTTCTTTACAAGTGGCTGTTTTGTCTTGGCTTTTGGGCTGTGATTTTGCAGTCAATCACTTCCAATTGTTAATTGAATTACACAGTAGAAACATTTGTGCAATCTTTGCCCAGGTTGTGTGTGAGACTGAGACAGTTTTTATTATTTACTGTTTTTCAGCTTCTAAACTTTTGGAAACATCAATGTGTTTCATAGCCTTTGATTCTTCCTTTCCCAGCTCCCTTACAAGTATAACGCGATACTCTTGCACAATAAGCAAGCTTTAGAGAGTGAAACTAGGTTTATTAATGTTTGACTTGCATCTCTCAGGAAAAACACTTGTTTATTGCCTTCAGAATGTACTGGTTTGATGAATAAGCTGCACCAAGAATAGAACAAAAGTATGTGAAATAGAATGAGGTGGAAATGGTCTGTGTGTAGGTGTGAGCCAGTGCTGACTAAATCTGCTATGTTAGTGAGGCACAGATAGGAAAAAGGCTTTTTAAATTCAGAAGTAAGGTCTCCCATCGAGAATACTGTTGTTTATATCATAGTTGCGTATGTTTGACTTTTAAATTCTTTGAGCTGTTAAACAACTTTTGCTTGCATAGTGCAGATCAACCAATAATCTGCTCTAAGATGTGATCCCTGAATTATATTCACAGCGTTGGCTCAACCAATAATCTGCTCTGAGATGTGATCCCTGAATTATATTCACAGCGTTAGGGTGTTGGTCCAGGCCTAATTCTGTGCATGTATCTGTGTGGTGCTTAAATTTATATACAGGTAGTACGAAACACTGCTTAGTTATGCACCTCAAGTTATACATGGGTGTTAGTAGCAGTTATGCTGGATACTGCATCAAAGCCCTCTTTTTTTCAAAAAGATGGGAATTTGGTGGGCTCAGACTTGTGCACTAAAAATAATAATTAGAGCTGCAAGACAAATTTGTGTCTGATTACTGTATGAATGGAATTGGTTATTTAAAATTGGTTATTGGCTTTTTTTTCTGCTTGTTTACAGGTTGCATGGCCGATACCATGAAATGGCACCAAACGTTGTGCCCATGGACTATACAAAGGACCCAGATGTTAAACTACCTATGCAGCTTATAATAAACATGCCTGAGCTAAAGGTATCACTTCTGACTGCTTACAAACTGTGTCTTAAGTTATGTAGCTCATCTGCCAGAGGTTTTGCCGAGTTTGATATCCTGAAGCAACGTGGCATGCTAAGTTCTTCCCCTTCCTGTTATTGTTCAAGGGTAAAACCAGCCCCAGAAACTGGAAAATATGTAAGTGGATGTCTTTCTTGAAGATAGTTGGGATAGATGTTAAAGGAAATGAGTAGGAAATAAAATTAAATTTAGTAATCTTTCCGCTTTGTATATATCGATCCCTTAGAAGCCCGTGGGATCTTTGTGTGAAGAGCTGGTTAGAAATCAGAAGTTCTTTTCTCGGTGTGTTGACAGGAAATCTGCCAGAGGTGTTCAAAATGTTGCTGATCAAAATTAAAGATTTTTTCCCCCTTTTTTCAGCTGCAAAGGCACAATAAATCTTGTTTTTCTTAATTATCAGGAGTCATTACATGATAGGAAGTGGAAAGATGGACCATGTCACTCCAAATGAGAGAAGCAGTAGACATAAAGCAACTGGTGCAGAAGAAAAATTGAGACAGTATTTGTTTCTGTTATTTTATCAGTTCAAAAATTGAATATGGTTTTAACAGGACAAATATGGATTTTTAGCATTTATTTTTTTAAACAGTTCATTGAATTATGTTGTCTTTGGTCTTGTGGTCTATTTTTTAATGTATGCAAATTAGCTAACATCTTTAAATTATTATCATGTAGAAATAACTTTGTTCACTGTGATAGCTGCGTGAAGTATCATCAAGCTTTTTAAGAGCAATGTCTTAAACCCTTGTAATCACTGGCCTTCCACTTGATTTTAACGATTTAGAAAATCTTCCTTGATGTTGTCAGATACTGAATATTTAGAGAAAAAGTGCAAGCATAATCAGTGCTTTAGAAATTCAGTATGGGAGGAGGTTAAGTCAACATAAAGTGAAAGACGTTGGAATTAGATTTCAAGTTGAAGTTCATAGAACTCCGTGTGCCTTTGCCACATTTATGTATGTTTAATTCTGAGACAATACCATTTATTGAACAAGAAACACATTTCACTCTGGAGAATGTTTGTAAAAAACTGTTTGATCAGCATTTCATATAAATGGAAGCGTTAAACACATATGAGCTTTTAATTCAATAGAATTCCTTTGAAAATTTTTCATCCTGCAGTTATGACTCTGATTTACCAGATACCTACGTACAGCTTGAGTTTCTTTTTCACACTAAGCATGGGATTCTTCAGCAAAATCCTAGTATATGTTTATACTCTTTCTAATGATGAGTTGGCCCTGTAAAATGTAGATGGAGATGTAGCTAGTTTTAATTCCAAAATTACACATAAAAAATTAAGACATCTTATAAATAAAAAAATGCAAGGGAAACTTTAGACATCATTAATTCTATTATAGAAGCCATAAATGCCGCTATCATCAACACAGCACATCTACATTGAGTTATTAAACATATTAATGTTTAGGATTTTGGTAGAGCTGTGTTGCTGATGACCTTCCTTAACAATATTGTGTAGTATAGGAATAAAACTAGTGTATACCTTACTATTGTTTAAATAGTTACAGAGCTGAAAGCTGTGATGTGCTTTGAGTTGTTCCTAGAACTTATAAAATGGTTCTTTCATGAGCTGGTTGAAAGCTATTCAACCTTTTAAGTCCTAAAGCTGCAAAACCCAACACTAATTAGAATCCAGCTCCAGGTTAGTCTCATGTTGGCTGTGCGCATGTTCCAAGTATGTGTCCTTGACTGCTGTGGGTGTAATTCCTTCTCTGCAGCTTGCAAAGTTAACCTTCCTAGCTCACCTCAAATGAAATGAATGACGTTTAAAAAATCGTGCACGTACTATAGTTTAAAAAAAATTCTTCTGATCTTTGCTCATTATGTTACACCGTGTGAAGTAGGAACAGGATAAGAAAGTAATGTAATTCAAGGTTTGTTTAAATATGAACTTTTAGTATCAGCAGCATTTGAGAAGGTGTTATTTTTCAAAAACATTATGTGTTTAAATGTATTGAAATGTCTATGAAAGAGCCTAAGTTATGTGCCTGTGTACTTAATGATGAAAAAAGGGCGAGAAGTACTGGAAAAGTATTCCTGGAACTTCAAAATAGGGGGGAATAAGAGCTTGCTGAAAAGTTCTTTTCAGTTAATTCAATTGCATAAAATGTCTTATTATATGTTAACCATTCAGATATAAATATTTCACATAAATTTTGTATAACATGAATGTTTGTATCATTTTTCTTATTATACAAATAAGAAATTAGGCAACTGGCAAAATTAATAATATTTTGTAAAAGTACCCTGTATTTTAGTTACTTCAAATTGAGCGCAATTTGGAGATAGCAACAAAGATTTCAAACTTGATTATCTAAAATTAGATTTAAGACATAATTAGGCATCAAAACCAGTAGCCTGTGAGAAGTTGCTAGCACAAGCAGACCTCATTAGGCCCTTAGGCTGTATTCTGAAGTATAGTGTTAAATTGCTCAATGGAGCTAAAAGCTGGGAATTGGAATGCTGGCTCTAAGTCTTCATTGTCCTACCTATGAGATCATGGGATGAGATAAATGATACCAACAGGTGAGTAGAGAATGATTATGCACTACTTCTCACAAGGACAAGGAAGTATTGCGTGAAATTACAGACAGACTGACATAATATGTGAATATATTAAGGAACTTTTTGGCAAAGACTGCATTAGTCTTCAAAAATTATTTAAGTTCTTTTACGGAGCAGGATTCCTCAGATTGCTCTTAAGTTTTATGATCTGGATGTAATATCTAACTCAGAAAGTCCCCGAAATGCTCATTGCTTTCTCAGAGTATACTATAGGAAGGATGACTGTATATCTCCCTCTTTTTTTTTTTTTTTTTAAATTCTTGCCTTATCTGCTACTGGTTGCAGTTAGAGTTAGGCTGGTGGGTTGGATGGACTGATAATTATGACATTTCCCATATTACAGGGTTTTTTCCCTCCTTAGAAGCAATCTCTAGATCTCTTGGATTTATTCTTAATGCCCCAGTGAGATTTGACTGAGATTATTTAATCAAAGGACCTGCTCTTAGCAGTTACCTGGAACCAGTCATTTGAAGCTTAGCAGCTAGTACAAAAGGAAGAAGATGCTTCATCTTGAAATACGAATATTTGCCGGACTTACTGAATGCTGTCATGTTGGATGGACAGCTGTATATAAAAATGCAAATTACTGTTGTGTGGAATACAATACTACAAAAATTACTAATTGTCTTACATTTGTGAATATAAAATACTTTTTTTAGTAGCTGACAGGATGAAATAGCATGGACTTCACAAAGTCTAAATTTGTGGGACCATCTTAAGTATTCTGGTTGTTTTCAGCCATCTGCTATTTTTGCTTATGCATAAATATTGAATTCTTATCTTTGTGATAAAAGGTATCATCCTCAAGGGTTTTTGATTCATTCATCCATTATTGCAAGTAGTTTTGTGTCTCTCTAACATGTCTGCAACTCGTTCATCACTGCAGCATCTTAGGTGCTTGTACTGGCACTTCTAGTATGGACAGTCAGTATTCCTTAAGTTTTACCATATTATCTCTAGGATCTTGATTGCAGTGTGAAGTTCTTTGGCTCAGTTATCTGACTCTGAAGAGTTTAACTGCCAGATGGCTGATAGTTACTTTGTGAAAAATCGAGGCTAAGTTCAGAAAAGAAAGCGAGAAACAATCATCACGCACATTCTTTCTGGCTTCAGTGATACAGGATTGAACACTTAAGGTTAACAGCTCATTCTATGAAAACTTTAGAGATGGCAGACTACTATATTTACAAGACAGCCTGGTACTGAGGCTGAGATATAAACCAGAAATTTTATACTGAACCATGATTAGATTTGTGATACAGTAGCACATCTCGCTACCTTAGCAAACTTAGGTGGTAATGATAATAGACTTCCTAATAGACTTCCGTAAGCGAAGTGGATCATAATCCATCTTCTTGCACCACATCAAGTCTGTGAGGCTTTCTGACCCTGCTTTAGAAGATGTCTCCAGGGTAATGGAACTTGATTTTATGAAAATAGCTTGGCAAAATTCAGTGTCAAAGTCTCATAAGGCTGTGGAAGAACCTTAGAAATGTTGCTATCAAACCACTTATTTCAGGAATTCTAGCAGTTCATAAAGTGCTTTCAATATCTAGTGAGCTTGTTTCCTGTAAAATATCAGTTAGACTAGATCTTGCTCCATAACTCTTTCAAAACATCGACACTGAAACATACTAAAATGCCCTGTAGGATCTCAGTTATAAACTGGGGTCAGTCTTGCTCATGGAGCGTTTTGCAATTACCTGTGCAGTTGGGGGGAGTGGGAGAGGGTCTTTCCCCTAGAGTTCATTTTCCAGGCAATCTAGGTAGTAATAGTAACTCCAGCTCATATGCTAAGGAAAAAAAAAAAATCTTTAACCTTTGCAACTTGACCAGACTGCTAAATAAGTCGTTATGGTGTTTCCTTTCTTCAGTAAATTTTCATCATGGTGAAGACAGTCAACATTTAAATCTTAAAATAGAAATAAATTAACTAAATGTCTGTTGAATTCTAATAAAATTAGTGATAATGTCAATGCACCTGGCTTTTTTCATATACACATTACAATTCTAGTTACTGGCAATGTTGAGCTCAATACCACTGCAGACTGACAAATGGATAGAATCAATAGTGCACTTTTCTAAATTAGATTCTTTTACTGTAAAGAAAGATCTTTACCTCACGGTTTAATGTTTTGAGCCAGGATTTTTGTGTTTCAAAGAAAAAAAAAATGGTGATGGTCACTCATTTTAATTGGTCATGAATTATTCACTAACTCATGATTCTTAAAAGTTGAAAGTCAGGACAAGAAATAAATAAATAAAGAAGAGGCAGATACTTTAAGTTGATTAGGTCTACCATTACACTGAAGTTAACAGAGCTAGTTTGCTCCATCGGTTTCATTGCAGTCTCTGTTCTCTAATTTTGGTTA